CCCTTTGATGGAAAAAACCCTAAAAAGCTATTATATTATTAAAGGAATAGAAAAAGGAGCCTCCACGTTCGCTCTCATGGCCTAGAAATTCTCACATTAATCAAAGAAAAAGAAAATACAGAGTCCATATAGAAATACAATTTAGAAATAGTTGAAATTCGGAATTAAAAAATAAGGAATATTAGAAGAGGAGACTAGAGTCCATATAGAAATACAATTTAGAAATAGCTGAAATTCGGAATTAAAAATAAGGAATATTAAAAGACGAGACTAGAGTCCATATAGAAATACAATTTAGAAATAACTGAAATTCGGAATTAAAAATAAGGAATATTAGAAGTAGAGTATAGAGTCCATATAGAAATACAATTAGGAAATAACTGAAATTCGAAATTAAAAATAAGGAATATTAGAAGTAGAGTATAGAGTCCATATAGAAATACAATTAGGAAATAACTGAAATTCGGAATTAAAAATAAGGAATATTAGAATTAGAGTATAGAGTCCATATAGAAATACAATTAGGAAATAATAGAAATTCGAAATTAAAAATAAGGAATATTAGAAGTAGAGTATAGAGTCCGTGTAGAAATACAATTAAAAAATATAAAAATTCGGAATTAAAAAATAAGGAAAGTAGAGTATATAGTCCATATAGGAATTTAAAACTAACTAAAATTTGGAATAAACATAATAAAATTAAAAGTATAGTTTAGAGTCCGTATAAAAATACAATTTACAAATAACTAAAATTTAAAATTAAGAAAATCATAGGAAGAAGAGTTTTAAGTCAATATAGAAATACAATTTAGAAGTAACTGAAATTCGAAATTAAAAATTAAAGAATATTGAAAGATGAGTTTAGAGTCCACATAGAAATACAATTAGAAATAATAAAAATTAAGAAATAAAAATAAATAATATTGGAACAAGAGCATAGAGTCTATATAGAAATACAATTTACAAAAAATTTGGAATTAAAAAAAATATTAAAAGACGAGTCTATAGTTATATAGGAATATATTTAATTTACAAATAACTAAAATTTGATATTAAAAAAAATTAATAACTAACACGTATATAAAATACAATATGAATATTACACATTAGTAGTTTTGTAAAGTTATCGCAAAATTTAAAATTATGTTGTCATTTTAATATATTTGAATAATATAATGAGAAAACATATATGTTATTAGATGAGAGAAAATATAATGATGCTAGCCGCGCAAACTGTGTTTGCCACCATGCTAGTTAACATTAAATTTAAAGTTAAAGATTTAAATTTTATTAAATAAGTATAAGTATAAGCGAAAAGATGAGACAGTTAACTTACACCCTTTTTACTTCAAAATCCTCGTTCGAGTCCTCCTTGTCGTCTCGCATGCGGACTTCGCAAGCAACAGCCCTTTTTTTTTTAATCGCCAGAAGAGATCTGTAAAATTCATGGTACAAAACAGGTTCTAAACTATTCGATGCATGTGTCGACGACAGTTGTCGTTGGCACAATTTGCAGTATACTAGTGATCGTATTACCTTGAGTAGTAGTATTACGGGTGGCTATTCAAAGCGTTCACAATGTCACGTGATGGCCGTGACTAGAATACGGTGCTGAAGCTTGAAGGTCTACTCGTCCACACTTTGCCTGGGACTTGGTAGGACAATGCCGGACAGCTTTCTGCCGATTTATCATGTAAAACGAGTTGGTGTAGTACACGGCAATAGTGCATTACTGTACTATCCAGACCAAATGGTAGTCCTTTTTACTCCTTTTATCTCAGGGGTGTTCGTCATAAACAAGTTTTCGGGCTGACACAAGTGATTCAGCATCGCGGCATCCACAACAGAATGTACTCCATGTCTCCATTATTGCCATAATCTGGTCCCAGCAAAACTAAATGTTGTCACACGGAACACGGCTAGGCGGTCAACGCGAGTGTGGATGGAGTCATGGAGATGTCAGACATACATGTGGCACTAGTCAAACACAAGATTCGTTCTACATGGGGTACTCGTGGCAATAATTCTACTACTCCTATACTACTCCAGTCAATACGGTTGACCTATGTCTTACTCGGTCAACATAACGTGCGTACAACATGCAGAAGTCGCCCTGTGTGCACCAGTGCACGCATGTGTTTTTCTAGGGAAGAGGAGCGAGAGAAAACAGGTGGTTAATGGGCCTTTAGCGTTATGAATTCGACGGGACGAAGGGCCGAGGGCCCATGTGGCAGTTGTAATGCCCAGTCACGTAGTCAAGCTGGGCCAGAAATAGGATATATGGGCCTCACTGAGCATATATGGACCGACTACGAACCACAACGATTATTTGGCGTTTCTTTTATTATAATAGCAAAAATGCCCGTGCGTTGCAACGGGTGAATAAATTCTAATAATAATATACGTTTTTCATGTATAATCATGTCAAAGATAATGTTTGTATTTTAATGAGCGGCTTGTTTTTTTATAAACGGTGTATTTTTTGTTGTGTGATTTTCTCAAACCATTTTTCAGAAATGGCAATGTTCTTTCTAACAGTTTCTTCCTAGCATATTTTTTTTATTTTTTTTACTGACGACGAAAACCATATTTTTCTCTCTTTTTTGCTTTTCTATTCTCATATTTTTCTCTCTTTTTTGCTTTTTTTTTCTCACGCGTTTTTTGCTTGTTTTTTAATGTTCATTTTTTGCTTTTTTTTTCCAATACAGGACAATATATGACGAAATAAAAGCCGTGTAATAGATGGCAAAAAATCGATGTATCTTATCCGACTCAAGCATCCATCAATTTAGCTTTTTTTCTGACAGTTTTTTCAAAGCGATTTGTTTTTTAATAGACGGTGTTTTTTTCTTGCGCGGTTTTTTCAAATCATTTTTTAGAAATGGCGCATTTTTTCTTACAGTTTTTTCCTTGCATGTTTTTTTTTAAAAAATTACCGACGATGGAAATAATATTTCTCACACGTTTTTTTATTGAAGATGGAAAACCTTTTTAGCATCGTCTGTGCTTTTTCTCACGCATTTTTTTTGAACTGTTTTTATTTTTCTCGTGCATTTTCTCTTTTTAAATAGTTAGATTAGATTAGAGATAGAGAAGAGATATATACTGATTAGAAATCGGAATTTGTTTCACCCTTTCCCTTTTTTCTCGCATGCATTTTTTATTTTGTACGAACCAATTTTTTCGCCACTTTCTTAGGGAATCGGACAAAACTTTTTTAGATGTTTTTTCAGATTTTTTTTCGCCTGTACAGGAATCAAACTTTATTTTTCCGTTTTTAAAGGAATCGGATCTACGGTTTTTTTTGCCACTTAGGGGAAACAAAATTTTATTGTTGTTGTTTTTCTTTTTTTTTCCTTTTTTTTTCTTTTTTTGAAGTTTTTCTTTTTTCTTTTTATGCACCTTTATGCCCTTGTTCTCTCCCTTTTATTATTTTTTCTAAAAAACGACCTCATATATCTTATTGCAAGATTATAGTATCTTATTGCAAGATTATAGGGACTCAAATGTAAATATAAAAATTACAGGGACTCAAATGTAAATATAAAAATTACAGGGACTCAAATAGAGAAGTACAAACCCAAAAATTAAAATCATATAAAAATGGAATGCTCTCGACTGGTAGGTTCCGTTTTTGCAAACAGATCTTTAACCCGGCACATCAATTTTTTTTCGCCAAGATGTATGGAATATCACGGTATAGATTGAAACTGACAGGAGTCTCCCTGGAATCTGGACTCAAACCGAGACCAAGAGAAGTGGTGTGTTTTGTTTTCTATTTTTAAGGGGGAATCGGATCTAGAGTCGGACTTTTTTTTCTGAGAAGGAGTCGACTTTTTTTTTATATATTTTCGCTATTTATTTTGTTTTGACGGGAGTTGGACTCTTTTTTATTTTTTCTTCTGGTTTTTTGATCGGACAGATTTTGTTTATTTTTCTTTTTTTGCCCCGTTTTTTTTACATTTGGTTTTTCTTTTCTTTTTCGGTTTTTTCACCCGGTTTTTGGATCGGACCAATTTAGTTTTTTTCTTTTTTGACCCGGTTTTTTTCTCGGTTTTTTTTACGGACGATGGAAGCACCTCTTATTTTTAAGTAGTAGAGATATATACTCCGCTTGATCACATTAAAACATGTACTAGATGATTAGCGTATATTTTACTCAAAGGGTAGACATCACTAATACATCTTCTTTTATTTTTGAAATTGCATATCCACATTTGATAAAAACTCCACCATCATCTCGTTATTTTTTGAATGGTCGAAATCACGATAAATTTTGTGCGTGATCGGTAACCCTATTATTTTTCCTCCCTCTTCATCCTCCCAACGGCGTGCGCTGGCTCACATGCTTGCCTCTCGCCCCCAACCATTCTCCACCCTAAGCAGGATAGTAACGAGTGCCCTGTCTCGTTGTTTTCACGTGCACTTCCTAACTCATTAGGAACCTATGACTCCTGTTGCCAACAACAACTCGTTGCATAGCTATTGATCTCTATGGCTTCAGCAATGTCACAGCTGCATCGCATCCCGCGTACCAGGCTACTGCTTTCCACAACAATCCTTCTCAACCCGCAAACATCTCCCCTCTTTTCTATTCTCACCCCCTCCGATATTGACCCCAATGCCAAACCTTATACCCTTACTAGTTGGACCGTTTTCGATCACCACATCTATAGGAGGAGAAACCTGACATGAATCTTATCACTATAGGTGATCCCCCCTCCCTCCCACCTTTAAAAAAGGGGGTAAATATAGGATAGCAAAACCGTTACTTTTATTTAGCAAGTTAATTTTTCTTCCTCTAACTCCTATATAGTATACAAAATTGTATGTTTCGATTCCATCGAACCATCCAAAACATTATCTCTAGTGCTAATCTATGTTGAAATCATGTAATATCGGTTGAGACAATCTATTTTTTTATCCTGTTTCTGTGTATTTTAAGAATTTTGTGATTCAAAACCCTGAGATTTTATTGAAAAAGTACAAAAATCCGAAATGACTAAAATTTGTATGATGGTTTTGATAAACTAATGAAAGAAAAGGAGAACCTGCTAAAGTTTGCCCAATGCCATCTCTGCAGTTACAGATCTCACGGGCCAACCTCCCGTGAAATCACCGAATGGAGAAAATACGCAAAGCACAAAAAACACTCGAAATCGAATCAAAACAACCTCAATGGCCCGATCCGATCGAACTAGCTAGCACCCTCGCCGCCGCCGCCGCCGCCGCCGCCGCCGCCGCCGCCGACGCCGACGCCGACGCCTCCTCGCCTCGCCATGGGCCTCCTCAGCTCCTTGCGCCCGCACCGCCGGGGCGCCCTCTCCGGCGGCGGCGGCGGCGGCGGCGGGCAGTGGCAGTGGTCGTTCCTCGACGCCGTCTGGGCGGTGTTCCTCCTCGCCGTGGTCATCTTCCTCGCGCTCGTCTTCACGCCGCGCCGCGGCGAGCCCCTCTCCGCATCCTCCTCCGCACTCGCCGGCGCGACGGTGCCACCATGCGCAGCCTCGGAGGTGGACCTCCTCCCCTGCGAGGATCCCCGCCGCAGCTCCCGCCTCAGCCGCGAGATGAACTACTACCGCGAGCGCCACTGCCCCGCGCGCGGCGAGGCGCCCGTGTGCCTCGTCCCGCCTCCGCGGGGCTACCGCGTCCCAGTGCCCTGGCCCGAGAGCCTCCACAAGGTGCGTGTGCTGTAGGCATTGCCGCATTGGCGCTTGCTTCCACTAAGCCATAGTAGAAAAATAGCACCTGAAGTGACTGCCTACTGTGGTCTAAGCTTACTGACTCGGTTTCCATGTATTTTGGAGAAGCGTGAGGGGGTAATTTGATCTGATCCGTGTGCGGTTAGGTGTGCTTATGGTTGCTTCTGTTGGTTATGGAATTGCAGCTTGGTGCTAGTGTATGACCGGCTTCTGCATCTTATGCTGTCAATGGTTAGATGCACGTGGCTTTCTGATTATATGCATGTTCCATATGGGTTTGCAGATACACGATTGCAACTTGTGGAGTTTACTGAATGATGTATAGGTCACTACATTTGTACAACAGGTGTTGGTTAGTTGTGTTTCGTTTGCTTAGAAGTAATTTTTGGCAAGCAGAAAATGTTGGCATTTGGTCCATCAGATCAATTGCTTCAAAGTTTCATGTCTAGCCCCTGGAAAATTTAGATTGACCTTACCCACTAATAATGCGTAATTGGACTGGATGGTATAAATTAAATGAAGAGTAATTTTGTTCTGATTGCATGTCTCAACAGGATGTAGACTAATCGTTCCAACTTTCTATGGAGAGTTGGAGACTTATTTCATTTAATTATTCTCTATGCAGATATGGCATGATAATATGCCTTATGGTAAGATTGCAGAAAGAAAAGGTCATCAGGGGTGGATGAAGCAGGAAGGCTCATACTTTATTTTTCCTGGAGGCGGAACTATGTTTCCCGATGGAGCTGAACAATATATTGAAAAGCTTGCCCAGTATGTTCCGCTAAAAAGTGGTCTCCTGAGGACGGGTCTTGATATGGGATGTGGGGTAATAAGCTAAATCTTCACATGAATCAATTTATGTTTTACTTTTAAAGAAATGGTATGGTATTAAGATCTTTCCTCTCTGAAGGTGGCTAGTTTTGGTGGGTTTTTGCTTAAAGAGAATATCTTGACACTCTCTTTTGCCCCAAGAGATTCACATAAATCTCAAATACAATTTGCTCTGGAGAGAGGAATTCCTGCATTTCTTTTGATGCTGGGCACGAGGCGCCTTCCATTTCCTGCACAGTCTTTTGATTTCGTTCATTGCTCCCGGTGTTTGATACCTTTTATGGCCTACAGTAAGTAAACCATTTCTTCAGTGTTTGATATGGTTCGTGGAAATGCTGTCTCTTACCTGTATATACTGGCAGATGGGAGCTATTTGATTGAAGTCGACCGTCTACTTAGGCCAGGAGGTTACTTGATTATATCAGGACCCCCAGTCCAGTGGAAGAAGCAAGAGAAAGAATGGGCTGAACTTCAAGAAATGGCACTGGCTTTTTGTTACAAGTTGATCACTGTAGATGGTAACACTGCAATTTGGAAGAAACCTACTGAAGCTTCATGTCTACCTAACCAAAATGGATTTAACATTGACTTGTGTAGCACTGATGATGATCCAGATCAAGCATGGTAATACTTGTCTGCGCCAATTATATTTGTTGTGCCTACAAATATATGTACTTTTTTTAAAAAAAAAAGCATACGAGAAAGTCTCTTGTACATTTTTCATATGTTTGCTTGTATGGTTTACCATGCAGGTATTTCAAGTTGAAGAAATGTGTCAGTAAAGTTTCTTTGGCAGATGAAATAGCTGTTGGTTCCATTCTGAAGTGGCCAGATAGGTTATCCAAACCTTCTGCTAGAGCCTCTCTAATGGACAACGGAGCAAACTTGTTTGAACTAGATACTCAGAAGTGGGTCAAAAGGGTATCATTTTATAAGAAATCACTGGGCGTGAAGCTTGGGACTGCCAAAATTCGTAATGTGATGGACATGAATGCATACCTTGGAGGATTGGCAGCTGCTGCTGTCTCTGATCCTGTATGGGTTATGAATGTTGTTCCTGCTCAAAAACCATTGACACTTGGAGTAATATATGACAGGGGCCTTATTGGAGTTTATCATGACTGGTAAGGACTTACTATTACAGAAATTTGCAATATCTTTCTGCTGATATGTTTTATTGTAATCCCAACTTTTCTCAATATAAACTACTATGTTCATCTATTTTTTTTTTAAAAAGAGCATGTTCATACTCCTTTGCAGCTTATTGATTGTAGTTATTTTGCAACTTCTTTCAAATTCATTTTTGTTTGTAAGTTAAATACCAAAGATATCAGGCAATTTACATATGCTCAGACCTGTTCTACCACTCACAATGAACTGTTTGTTTGAGTTTTGAGTAGTATTGATATTCATTGGATATATTGGATATTTGTATATCTTAATAGATCTCATGCATTCTGTGGCTTTTATGGTACTTTCCTGCAATATTTATTGTTGCACTATCCATAAATTTTCAAGACCTTTTCCCCAAGAAACATGTATTCGTCTGTCGAATCAATATATTGAGGATTTGTTCATGGAATAGATTAATAGTTTAATGCTTGCATGCTGATTAATATAATTATTATGATATGCCTTTGGTTCCAGGTGTGAGCCTTTCTCAACTTATCCTCGTACCTATGATCTCATTCATGCTGATAGAATCAACTCTTTGATAAGAGACCCAATTTCTGGCAAGAGCAGGTACACCACCCATAAACTTAGCTATCATTGTCTCATGATCTTGTATTCTTAACTTGTTCTGTTCTCCCTACATCTTTTGGAGTGGTCTAATTCATTGCTGAAAAGTCAGAGTAGAATGATAACCAAGAAACATCATGTTAAAATTATCATCACCAATTTAAGATGTTCGGCCCAAGCAGTATATATCTCCATCAGCCCTTATTGCCTGTTCTTAGCACATTTTATGATTTATCATGTAAATGAATTAGTAGTTGAATTATGCAGGAGTTTTTAACTATTAATATCGTTTAGAGGATTGAAAGTTTCTAAAAGTAAATTTGTCGCTCCCCAGTCCCACACAATACAGTATGCAACACGTTTACTGACCTTTATCTTTGTTTTGATGGGACGTGTACCATATGCCGACTTAACTGTAAAAAGAGCTCTACCTGATTCCATTTCTTTCTTAGATGTGACCTGTTTGATGTCATGTTGGAGATGGATCGCATTCTGCGTCCAGAAGGAATTGCTGTTGTACGAGACTCCCCAGATGTGATTGACAAGGCAGCGCAGGTTGCTCAGTCGATTCGGTGGACTGTTCAGGTGCATGACAGTGAGCCTGAATCAGGTGGTACAGAGAAAATTCTTGTGGCTACTAAAACATTTTGGAAGCTACCATTAACTTAGTTATAATTCAATTTCTACCCGTGTTTTGAACACTTCCTTTACAATCTCAGTCCCCTGATTTTGAGCTTTTGGGGATGGGTGACGGGTGTTCAGTACCTATCAGGTTAGCAAGAAAATAGATTAATCAAGGTGGTCTTTCTTTTCTGAAATCTATTTTTGTTCTTCAGCGATGAGTTAGGTGCATAGAAGTGTGGTGTAATTCTTGACATTTTGTGGCTCTCCCTGCATACTTCTGATTGATGTTATAGAATGTATGTATTGTGAAAATGGTTGTTCAGTTTGCTCTATCGCTGGTTGCTGCATCCATTTATCATCCCGCAAGATCAACTATTATTGCAAGTCGCATAAGGGATTGCGTTAAATCCTTATACAATTTAATTGTCAAGTACTCCCTCCATCCCTTAAAAAAAACCAAGTTATGGCTGTCTACGTCCACCAGAAGTTGGTTGGTTTTTTAGGGACGGAGGGAGTATATATGTTTCATCTTTCACGCATATTTATCACAAGAATTCATTGAGCTAGTGAAATGATTCATTCTTCAAGTGATCTGTCTTTGAGTCTTAACTTGCTGATGGGACATGCTGATTTTTTTTTTAGTCTTAACTTGCAAATGGGACAGGCCTTTTTTTTTAAGACAGGAACTGGCTACTTGACCAGGTAAGAGAGCAGAGGGTTACATGGTTCAGCATATACAAGCAGATTTCTGATCAACACTTCACAGAAGAATATAGGTAAGAATGGACAATATTGAAGTTCTATATAGCGTAAAAATTTTACAGTGTGGTCTCAAACAGAAACAATATCTATTGTATCTCGATTGTTCCCTCTTAAGCAGGGTGGCATTCTCTCCCCTGCAGTGACAAGTGGGAGGCATGGCATGCTAATGCGTCACTGATCTCCTGTTCATTTGTCGCATTTCCAGCTGGATGTCGGCACGCAGGTGAGGTAGTGGCACCAGCTGCAATGAGCGTTGCCGTCCACTCCCTTGAAAACACTGACCAACCCAGCTGCAAACCTGTTTGTGCATACATGGCCTCAGATTAGGCATTCCTGATCCCATTTTGATCACATAATACTCTGCTCCTAAAAAAAAATTCAAGTTCTTTTGAGTTACAAGGAAACAAGCTTTACTTACCCTGCTATCAACAAGGCCACGGAGAGAGTCAGGAGAATGATCTGGAACGCGTTGTATTTGGACTTGGCGCTGGAAACCTGCTCCGACCATCCGAACTGGGGCTGAATCAGCAGCACGAAGCCGAGGAGGAACCCGGTGGCGAACCCCCCAATGTGCGCGAAGTTGTCTACGCGGGGGAGTATACCCAGCGCCAGGTTGATGGCGGCGATGATGATCAGGTTCACCATGGCTGCACACTGCACAGGATTCATTGGTTTCATTCGGCGTCAGGTGATTGCCCTGCATCAACTGGGTGCAAAATGCCTGATGAATCAGGCTGATGAGATCAGGAGGAAGAGACGCCTACTCTGTTGCTGTAGATGGTCCAGTTGGTGATGAGCTCCGAGAGCATGGCGCCGAGGAGGCCGAAGAGGGCGCCGGATGCGCCGACGGTGATGCCATTTCTGCTGATGAAGAGCACGGAGAGGACGCTCCCGCCGAAGCCGGATACGAGGTAGACCAGCCCGACCTTCCCTGCAGCACGGCAGAGACGAATTCCGGTCAGAAAAACACCGTTGCATTACACACACCTTTTCTGCTCTTGACGGATTCGGGCTTACAGAATCCAAACTGCTGCTCGAGGCGGATGCCGATGATGAGGAGGCTGATCATGTTGGCGGCGAGGTGGATGAGGCCGGCGTGCAGCCAGGTGCTCGTCTCCAGCCGCCACGCCTGGTTGCCGTGCACCACCCCGTACCAGTCCAGCGCCCCGTACTTCCGCAGCCTGCACGCCCGGCGCGGCCACGATCAGCCAAGATCACAAATTAACCGGACAAAATGGCCGAACCTTGCGAGCGGGGATGCTTCTTACGTGGCGGCCGAGGGGCCGAGGACGGGGTTCTCCCTGAGCGGCTGGAAGGAGAGCCGTCGGAGGAAGCTGCGGCCGACGCAGTCGCGGCGGCCGCCGTTGGCCGGGCAGTTGTTGTAGTACATCACCACCACGAACATGGCCACGTTGGCTATCACCACCAGCGGCACCACCCACGTCCGGTGGTGCCGCTCCTGCGCCGCCGCTTGGTCGTAGTAGTAGAACGGCGGCGGCGCCGGCGCCACCGCGTTCGGCCCGTTGCCGCTCGGGTTGTACCTCCCCGGCGGCGGCTTGATCCCCGTCGTCGCCTCCCTCCCCGCCGGCCCACCGGCCTCCACGTCGGCGTTCGACATGGCCTGACGATCAGCTGCTGCAACGGTTCGTTTCGGATTCTATGATCTCCTGAGTTGGAGATGAGGAAGGAGACGGACACTGAGACGACCAAAGACTCGGTGTTTGAGGTTTAAAAATCTGCGGGCGTTTGCGCGTTTTATCGTTTGATCATTTCATTTTTTTTTTTAAAAAATGTCATATTTGAGCACTTATTATTTTCTGGTTGTTGAGAAAGACTAGGCGGGCCGGAGTTGGCGGGAAGTTTTCTATGGAAGCTTTGTGGGTTCGGAGGAGTTGAATTGATGGGTGCAATTAGCAGTTGACCCGTCCGTTTACACTGATGGTAAGGCATAGCTGTACTTGACAACTGGATTGTCATCTGTTTAAATTTGAGATTAAACAAAAAAGGTGAAGTACTTTTACCGATGGATCAACTGGAATCCCCATAAGAAATTGCTAATGGGCATCTTAGTACTAATGCCTTCTTTAGAGTTTTCCACTTGAATACTTGATAGGATGGCCAAAACTTTGTTGACTTTAATCTGCTGTATCTCTTTAGTTTAGACAAGTCTCCCAGAATCAGTGCTGACGGTTCAGCTTTCTCCCCTAGGATCCAACTGACAAACTAGCTTCTTTGGGTACATGTCAGCTTGTTGCAGAAACCATTTCAGAAGTTTATTACTGTTTATACCGATACGCTTTAAAACTTGAAAGCTATATTTGATGGTGAGTATGAAAATGAGAAGCGCGTTAGTTCAGCATTGCCCCGGCCCGGCGAATTAGTTCAACATTGCCATTGCAAGGAACCATTCCACGGTTGTTTCGCTTTCGTTTTTTTTTCTGAACTTAATTTCCCTATCATTGTATCATGTGGTGAGGTTAAGCTTTCGTAAATCGTCCATTTGCACCGATGATTACTGGAAAAACAGAACTCGATGTGGACGCACGCACCCAGTTGCCTCTTCTTCCTCGACACTGCAAAACAGCTCGTATTCGTATCTCCTCATTTGCAACTGAAATGCGCTTCCTTTTCTTTCCTGCCGTCCTGGCATTTCCTCTTTCCCGTTTCACCATATGTTTCTCTACTTGCATCTAGCCATAGCTGGATAGTACTACTACAGTTGGTTCGATCTTTATAAATCGCTGCATAATGGGAACCCACTCAACTCCTGCTAAACTAGGAAGACCAATGCAAAGAATTGCTCTATGGTTCAATCGGTTTTACGTACACGAAGATGCATAATTGTGGACAATAAATGGTACTACTACTCTGATCCTCCTAACGCTGAACTGTAAACATTTTCCTCTCAGTTCCCTGGAAACGTGAACTGGTGGTCCACAGAAAGATATCTTAATTGTGTACTCCTTTATGTGTAAATGTAGCCAAATGTAACTTCAGTTGAAATGATTAAAAGAAAACTACAGTTGTGTTGGCTTCAGCAACGTCAGAGGACATGGTTTGCAGCTCGCGACGACGTCTACGGTTTCCTTGCTTGGCCCCGATCGAGACACACGGTAACGGCGTATAGTACAAAAACAGCGTCGCGTGCGCACGAGCCAGGCTCGTTCAACACGGCCTCAGGGAAAGCAACACGCAGGCAAAGAAAGCGTAGGAATTTCGGTAAAACTAGCTGGGCGGCCCGCGCAATTGCGCGGCTAGCATCAATTTAAAATTATTTATTTTTACATATGATTTCATTTAAAATTAACATTCTTGTGATTATAATAATTTTATAGTTTTTAAAAGGCACGCCAGTCGCTACCCCTCACTCACTCCGTTGTCACATTTTTATTTGCTTACTCGATCTATCACTATTTCTATTCATTCTCTTCAGAACTTTAAAAATTAGGCCTTATAGTTTTTAGAGTTCATTGTGTTGTTGGGTTTCGTTTTCATAATTTTAAATTAGGCCTTATAGTATTTAGAGTTTATTGTCTTGTTGAGTTTCGTTTTCATAATTTTTAGAAATATCGTTAAACATCGCCAATTTACTACTCTACGGCCCATCCGCTGCCACCTCTTTTTTTTGTCACTAAGATTTTAAAAATCAAACATAATTTTGTTTGTGTTCTTTTTTACTTTCCATACGTCTCGCCAAATCGTTAGTGGCTTTACCACTATACTCCTCTATAGCCCGCCCGCTGCCTCCCCTCCTTATTGTCATTGAGATTTCAAAAATCGAACATGATTATCATTGGGGTTTATTTTTACTCTTCATAAGTCCCGCCAACCGTCGTGACCATGCTGCTTAACGGCATGCCCATCATCACTCCTCTTAATCGTCATTAGGATTCTATTTGGGGTTTTGTTTAGAGGTTTTAGATATCCCATCAATCGCCAGCACTCTAATCCTTTGTAGGCCTACTTCTTCTTCACTCTTTATTGTAATTTGTCATCGTTGTGTTCTAGATGGACATTTTTCTTTTGAAAATTGCATATCTTTCATTCCAATAATTTTTATTCGTACTTGAACTTTTATAATCATTTTCCTATTTTTGAAATTTATTTTATTTGTTATTTCAAATTTTAATTAATCTCATCATGTGTTCTAGATTGTCTCTTATTTCAATAGTCTTTATTATTTTTATTACAAATTTTAGTTATTTATAAATTGTATTATAGTTGGGCTCTTATTTTTATATTTCTATTTTCTGAATTATTTTTTTATTTTGAATTTTAATTAATCTCGTATTGTGTTCTATATAGACTATTTTTTTAATATTTCTTTTTTATTTCCAATTTCAATTGTTTTAAAATTGTGTTCCCACTTGAACTCTCTTTTTTATGTTTTCTAATTTTGGATTTTTATTTGATTTTTTATTTTGAATTTTAATTAATATCGTATTGGTGTCTTATATGGACTTTTCTTTCAATATCGCTTATTTTAAATTTCGAATTTTTGTTATTTTCAAACTGTATTCCTACGTGGACTCTTCTTTTATTTCCTTTTCTCTAATTTCGGATTTTATTTTATTTTTATTTTAAATTTTAATTAATGTCGTATTGGATTCTCATATGTACTCTTCTTTCAATATTCCTTATTTTTAATTCCAAATTTTAGCTATTTTTAAATTGTATTCTTACTTGGACTCTTTCTTTTTTTTCTAATTTCGGATTTTATTTTATTTTTATTCCGAATTTTGATTAATCTCGTATTGGGTTCTTATATAGACTCTTCTTTCCATATTGCTTATTTTTTTAATTCCGAATTTTAGCTATTTTTAAATTGTATTTCTATTTGGACTCTTCTTTTTCTTTTTCTCCAATTAATGTGGGAATTTCTAACCCCCACAGCGAACGTGGTACCTCCTTTCAAAGCTGTTTTAATAATATAATAGTATTTCTACTTGGACTCTTCTTTTCTTTTTCTTCGATTAATGTGGAAATTTCTAACCCCCACAGCGAACGTGGTGCCTTCTTTCAAAGTTGTTTTAATAATATAATAGATAATAGATAGATAGATAGATAGATAGATAGATAGATAGATGTTTCTCGTTTTTCTTTCCTCACGAAATGGACAGAGTCTGGTATAGCAGTTCCGTTGCTTTGCTGCTACGCCTGTTTGCAAACCGGCCATCGCCGTCAGCCTCTTCGTGCATCCCCAGCCGATTTTCTCTTAAGCTCTACTACCTTCCGTATAACCCAGGCTCCAACTGCAAATCGTTGTTGATGCCGTAACCAATAAATCATGCATGAGTCAGGACGGAGTACTCGCGCTTGCGGTCTGATACAGATACTACCTACACACCCGCTCAATCCAATCAATCATGCACTCGTGCTAACCGAAGAGAGAGTACTAATGTGTACATCAGCTGTGTCGATTTTTTGTGCAAGATGATTATGTTCCTCATGGCCAAATTGTCCCCCTTTGGCCCTTTGTCGTGTACACGTTTCTGATTTATGAAAAGAGAGGAAATCTCGTGGGATACGGACGTATGCAGGGGTTGGATGCAGCGTGGACTTGCAGCGTTTAAACAGCCAATCCCTCGAAAAGAAAGTCAATCGATCGCCGTATTGACATGTTCAGCTGCTCACGCGCGCACGGCTACAAGCAGGGTCGTCATGGGCTCATGGCCTCATAGGCGCGGTCGCTGCTGCAACCTGTAGCTGCAGGTGGAGACGTGGTCCGTGGAGGCGGGGTCGCCGCACGCTGGCTCGAAACGAGGACGGCGCGTCGGCGAGAAGGCCAGGAGCGGCTGGCGGTTGACGGTGTCGGTCGGATGTGATGATATCGAGAATTCGGGATGATGGCTGGCACGACACGGGGATTTTGCAGAGAACTTCGGAGCGGAGTGGGCCTGCGGCCACGTCGGGGCTACGGGATCTTGGACTGCTTGACAACGCCCCTCGGCCCTCGCAGCCGAAATATTTTGGGAGTACCTATACAACATTCAGAAATAAAAATTTTAGAACATAACTAAGTATATAATTGTAGTGTAGTTATATTATAACTACTATGTAGCTTCTGTAGCTCGAGTATAACTCTTAAAGAAGTGTGATGGAGCAACTGGTTAATCGAATGAGAACGTAAGCTGCGGATTTGGATTTGGTGCAGTTGGTAGTGTGACTGCAACTTATACAGTCCACTGTCAGCTTTTAGATCTGGATCCAAGGGCCAAAATGCGTTCGGGTACTGTAGATCACTGTAGCAAAATTGTTTAGTATTTTTTACATCTGCCACTGTAGCTAATGGTCTGGTCCATTCATCAATGAAATAGATGGCTCCTATTGCTTGCAGTAGCTTAACTTGCAGTCCATATACAAACTGCATGTGATCCCAATTCGTAAGCTGCAGGTCTTGAATAAGGACCCCACTATGCGCATGTTAATTTTTTTCCATCTTCCCTCACCCGCACGAATCTCAAAGCATATCTACGGTTTTAAATACGAAAGTTTCCAACTAACTTTTTTAAGCAGTAGGATAGCAAATCCAAATAACTTTTTTAAGAACTCATCCGAGTGATTTAGTGTTTTATGAATATATATGTCGGTGACATGGGGCCGGGGGTATCGTGACTAGAGGCTTGGGTAGCCGCGGTCACCCACGTGGCCTGACCCCCTCGGGGGGGGGGGGGGGGTCGGGCCCGAGGATGACGTGGCCACCCCTCCCTCTGTCTCCCCGAGGGGTCGGATCG